AACACACACACACACACACACACACACACACACACACACACACACACACACACACACACACTGCTGCCACAAACTTCCCTGCATGCAGGAGAGACAACAGAGAATCTACAGGGCAGGACTGGTCTGTGGGAGGCTCACACATTTGTGGAGAGTTATGTGTTTGCCAAATGGTAGGAGGCTAAGTTCAAGGGACTTGTGATCTACAGATAGAATGATTGTCCTGGTTGGGTTTTGACTAGACTAGGGAAAACAAGGCTTTAATTTTAGCAAAGGCTCCAAAAGAATGGAACTTATGAAGAAAGGAATTAAACCAAAGGCACATAATGAAAAATTGGTACAAGCTAACAGGCAGTTCCCAGCAGAGCTTGGTCTTTATCCTAGAGACCCTGAGAATATTCTAAATGGCTTTCTACAGATATGCACAAGATAAGACCTGTGATTTTAAGGGATGGCCTGACTATAGTGTGGACAGAGGTTGCACACTGACTACATAAAAAGAACCTGCTACAATTGTCCAGGTGAAGTGGGAATACAGACTGGCTGGTGGCTACAGGGAAAGGGACTGACTGTGATGTGAATGTCTATAGATATGCTTGAAGGTTGTTAGAATGAGACAAGAGACAAAATAGGGGGTTTTCCTAGAAAGTTTACTTTTAAAGAGGGTTATATCGTCTCACTACACTAAATGCAATATCCATTCCACTAGTGGTCACCAGAGGCTGCACAAAGAGTACAGGGCCTGGTTTGTGTTTGTGCAACTAGATAAAGTCAAGAGCAGATGACAACAGAAAAGTCATTTGGGAGATGGATCAGGAGTTAAAGCATTTGCTGTGCAAGGACGAACACTAGGGTTTTGATCCCGACAACCCATGTGTCAGTGGGCACAGTCATCTGCCTATAATTCCTGCCTGGGAAAGTGGGGATAGAGGATCCCTAGAGCGACATTAGCCATATCAATGAGTTCCAGGTTCAACTGAGAAAATCTGCCACAATGGGTAAGGCAGGGGAGTGCTCAGTGATAACTCCTGACATCAACCTTGTGTCTCCACATGTATGTATACACATGTGTTTGTACACACATGCACACAAAGACATACACCTACATATCCAAACATATATGCACACATATATCAATATCCTTAAAGAGCTCTTACAGGCTGGGTGTGGTACATGCCGGTAATTTTAGTATTTGGGAAGCTGAAGCAAGGATGTCAGTTTGGGACTAGCTGAGATTCTGGACAACTGAGGAAAATTCTGTTAAAGAAAAACTTATAGCTCATATAGCCCACTAGTAAAACACTTTCAGAGTCTATGTGACTTTAGTAACACACACACACACACACACACACACACACACACACACACACACACACTCTTACAAGTGCACAAAAGTATAAACATTAAATCAGACTCTGAGTAACAAATATGTGTATTTCTAGAATGTTAACTGCACTTTATTTTAGAACTAAAATGCAGATGCAATCCAAATTCTACCAATAAATTAAGGTCACAAATGTTTAATAGAATACTTTGTAGTCATCAAAATAGCAACATAGACCTGGAATAAGTCAAAACAATCTTGAAAAAGAGTAACAAATTACAAGACTTAAGCTTTCTGATTTCAAAACTTACCATAAAGCTATAGTATATCAAGAGGCTGTAGAACTGGCACCAGAGAAGACACAAACAACTGAATCAGAATAGAAAGCTCAGAAATAAACCAGCATCAATGTCCAAATGATTATTGACAAGATTACTAAGATTACATTGTGGAAAGTAGACTTTTAACAAATGATACTAAGGAAACTAGTCATCCACATGAAAATGAGTTTTAATTTTAACTCAAATGGGATCAAGTTCCTAAATAAAATGGTTAATTTTTAAAGTTCCACAGAACTTCTGTTTTTAGAGGAAAAGTTTCACACATCAGGATTTGGTAATGACTTCCATAGGCATAACATCACAGCATCAGCAACAAAAGAAGAACATGGCGTTTTGGCTTTAGCACATTCAGAATCACCTATCCACCAAGGTAGACCATCAAGAAAGGGAAAAAGATAAGCCAATGAATTTGAGAAAATATTTGTTAATTACATAGTTGATAAGGAATTAATATGCATAATATATATGTATATATATACATATATACATATATATATATATATATCCCTCCAACAACAACCTTTGCCCCCAAAAATCCCAGTTAAAAATGGACTAGGCATATAGATATTTCTCCAAAGAAGATATACAAATAACCAATGAATATATGAAAAGGTGGCTGGCATCACTAATAACTAGGGAAATGGCAAAACAATGACAAAACAAACCACAATTAGAGATTGCTTTACATATATAAAGACAGGTATTATCAAAATAATTGGGAAATAAGGGTTGGCAATGGTGTAGAGCAAATGGGACCCTTGTAATTGTGAGACTGTAAAATGATGCAGTCATGGTGACAAACAGTATGTTATTATCTCAAGAACAAAATCAAAAGAATTACCCCATGACCCAGAAATTTCTAAATGTATATTCAAAAGAGCCAAAATTATTGAAAAGATTTGTATATCAGTGTTTGCAACAACATAGTTCATAGAAGCCAAAACATGGAAACAATTCATCAGTAAATGAGTGAACAGGCAAATGACATACACTGGAAGATTACAAAAGGTATGAAATTCTGATAAATGTAACTGTAAGAATGCTGAAGATATAAATGTAAGGGAAATAAGCCAGAGGATAAAATGACAAATACTATATGACTTCTCTCATGTGAGATGCTGACAATAGTAAGAACAATAGTGGCGAAGCAAGACCTTTATTACCAGGGTGGCAGGCTAGATGAAGACACGCTATTCATGGGTGTAATGAATAACAATGAAAAACTGTACAAAAATGTGAGCATATTTATGCTACCAAAAGTGTACATTTGAAAGTTGTTCAATAGTAAATTTTATCTTCACTTTACAACAACATATTTTCTTTAAATGGTGATATATGAAATTATTTTTACAATATATTAGGTGGGGGAAAGGTTACAAAATTGTGTATAAGGTAAGATCATTTTGTCTGTTTAAAAATCAACAGACCCTTTCCTCACACAAACCTGAGGACATTTTTGTGACATTTTTGTTCCATTTGGGACTGGAACTGTTTGTGAGAGAAGCTTAGTCTCTTTCCTCAGCAGTCAGGGCTGGGATGGGAAGGGAAGGCTGGCTGAATACTGATGAAACCACCTACTATAGCTGCTGCATTGGGAACAGGACATTGGAGTGTTGCTCCAGATTTTTCTCTGGTACACCACATAAAATGTGAGACTGGCCAGGTCTACTTAGGTACAGTGGATACAAAAACCTATGGCTTTTGTCAGATTTTATAACAACACTGAGTGGCAAATCAGACAGCATCGTCTAAAGCAGTGGTTCTCAACCTTCATAATTTAATACAGTTCCTCACGTTGTGGTGAACCCACCCCAGACATAAATGTATTTTGTTCCAATTTCATAACTGTAATTTTGCTACAGTTATGAATTCTAATGTAAATATGTGATATGTGATTCCTGTGAGGTTGTAACCCACAGGTTGAGACCCGTTGAACAGCAATATTGCTTGGTTGGAAGATATCATTTTCTGGGGCCTGGAGAAATGGTTCAGTGGTTAAGACCACTTACTGCTTTTCTAGAGGATCTGGGTTCAATTCCCAGCACCCACATGGCAGCTTACAAGTGTCTGTAACCCCAGTTGTGGGGTACCTGACACCCTCACACAGACATGCAGGCAAAACACCAATGCATATAAAAATAAAAATAAATTATTTAAAAATAATTAAAATGGTTAATTATATTAACCATTGTTCTCTGAAGCTTTTTGGTATACTTGTTTACCTATCTATCCATACAAAGTGAGTACTCTGCATCAAGGAAGTTTTCAGAGGAGTACACAATTCAGTATTTTTCCTAAACAGATGTTCCGTTAGCATAATGGGATTCACAACAGTCTACCCACTGTAGTCTGATAATCACCATGCACCAACTATATTTATAGCCCAGGCTACTATAATGCTGATTTATAAGTGAGAAACAAACAAAATGAAAACAAAGCAGAAGACTGAGGGAACAGAAAAAAAAAAGCCAAAAACAAAAAAAAAAACAAAACAAAAACCCAAGCAAACAAACAAACAAAACCATCATGGTGGAGGCCACAAGAACTAGATCTGTATCTGAGCTCTGACAATTATCCCTCACAAGGGTACTCAATAAGCATGTCACTGCATCTCTATCACAGGCATCAAGGTAAGTACTAGGGACAGGATGAGGGGAAGGTACTAAAGAAGCCACAATCTCTGTCCTGAGATGACTTTGTATTGTCTAGTCATTTAATCTACAGACTCTCCGCTTCCTCACCTGTTACACACATCATCATGTCATCTCACATAGAATCTCAATGTTGGTGCCCTTTATGTTTAGGAGCTATTAGTCTATTACAAGGGGTTTCTCTGTGTCCTGTGAATGTAGTGTTATCCCTGGTCTCTACCCACTATGGGCCAGCAGCATCCCACCCCTTGCCAGTAATGACAACTGAAACTCTCTGCACACATTTCCAAATGTCCCCAGGGAATAACATTGCTCCTGTTTGAGAACATCTAAAATAGAGTGACATATGGGAAAACATTTTTAAAAGCATAAGACACCAAATCAATTTATGTCAGAATTAATATAAATCCATTTGTAAGACTATTTGTCAAAAAAACCAAAACAGACCTTTAAAATTTTACAGTTTCCTTAAGAATGTTTTATTTGCTATTTTTATATATTTTGCCTACCATTAAAAGCCCTTTAGGGCTTTTTGGTGAATTTTTGTTACTCAAACACAGTATCTTCATTACAGCATATTTTTTTAATGTATCACTATGCTAACACAACAGAGTCAAATATAATTGCAATCTCTACAAAGCAGAAATTTTATTTTCTTTGTCCAAAATCGCAGTGCTTGTTGCCTACCTTTTAAGGACAAGGGACTGGATCTTGTGAATTCTGCATTTGAAGGCCTGTGCTGTTTATAAATGCCCACGTACTCCTTAACTCTGGAATCAATGGCCTCCTTTAACAGCAAACAAACTTCCTAAAGTAAATTTAAAACATTAGACATTTCTAGTTTAATGCAATGCAAAGAAGAAAACATTACACACATTGAAAAAGCACATGCTGGCATTTAGTTAGCTTTTTAACCTAGCTGTGAGAGGTGAAAGGAATCCTCTACAGTCTTCAGGAGTGCACTGCTCGTTAAATGCACTATCAATGACTGACGGTGGCTCTGCCTCAGTTTCACAATTCCAACAGGAAGATTTAAAGGCTTCAAAAGAGGGGCATAACTTCAAGAATGTTTTCATTTAAGTATCAGTCCACTATACTGTGATGGATAGAAGGGAAAAAATCACATGGAGCTGTCTACACAGGTTCAGCATGGGACTCAGGAGGTACTCACAGAGGCAGAATGCAGTGTAAGAACACTCCTATTGTCAGAACAGGTAGCATGGAGAGGCCACAGCTGCCACAGCTCTGGCCCTACTGTCTCACTGCACTGTTGTCCTACTTGTAGATTCAGTGTTACCTGATGTTATTTGTATAAGAAAAGCCAGAAACAGTGGAAGCTTTCATTTTTCAGCATGGTTCAAATTTATTTTTTGTATCTTCTTGTTGTGTAAACACCATCATTCATTAGTCTCTGGCCTTGGGTTTACAAACACAAGAGAGTCAGAGTGGTGGGTTAAAAAGAAGTGGGGAGAGGGCAATGTGATCTGCCAGCTGTTGTGATGATGCTGCAGACCCAACTGCTTTTGAAAATCACATTAATATCCTTCATTCATGAATGATATAGATCATGTCTCTGGTATAGATTAATGTTACTAGGTAGCAGGACCAGGTTTGAATTCAACTTCAGCAGGCTGCATTATTAATACATTTCTAGAGATATTGGTTGGCATATAATAATTACAAAGAACAGCGACAAAAAATAACTCAGAAATCCAGCTGCACAGTATGTATCAATATTCTCTGTGGTGTTTCCTGCATTACTGGGAAAATGTATTTTACCATAGGAAAGCAGGGGAAACTACACATGAAACTAAAACTTAATGAGTGATAAATCCTAGATCAATTCCCAACACTTGTGTGCAGATTCAGAGTTGCTCAGGTCGCCTCAAACTTGTTCCACTTGTTTCTCAGAAAGACAATCACAGGTTAATCGTTGGGGCTCTTTATAATTACAACATGAACCAGGTTTTTGGTTGCTTGTTCCTTTATTACAAATAACCCTTAAACAGTGTATAAAACTCTTGATTTAACACAAACATAGACATTTCTACATAAAACACAAATGCCAGTCTCCTCTCTCCTACTTTTTATTTGCAGCTAAAAGATGCAGTGCTTTGTAAAATATAAAGATATTCATTTACAGCTGAATGCTTTGGCACTGTTCACACAACACAAAGGCAGCCCTGCCTCATACTGTTGTTCTAGCAATTAAATAATTTTTGCTTCACATGCAGGGTTCAACTATGACTGAGCTAGAAAATATGTGGAAGACACACAAGGCAACAAGGATTGTTAAAATTTGGCCATAAATACCCTATAAGGCTAGAACTAAAAATAGTATGACAAAAATAGAGCCCATACACATGAAGTTTCTCACTATATTCCAAGTGTTCCTTATGGGAACCAGGTTTCAGGAACTAAAAGATGGGCAATGTTCAGAGATGACCAATACCTAAGAACCAATTGTGCCAAGCTTGGTAAGTCATCCTCTTTAGACCTACAGCAATGCAAGAGAAGAAAACAGCCAGCAATATCTGAGAGGAAGGTGAGGGGACCAAGTAAAAATCCACATATGAACGGGAGATGGCACAGACTCACTAAGCTAACAGGGGCTTGTGTTTGCTTCTGCAAGTTTAGAAATGGGACGATTTCAGTTTTCACATAAGCTGGACTCAAATGAAACATGTTTAATATATGAACCCAGCCCTCTTTTCATACAAAGTGACTGTTAAAATGCAATCAAACTGGTTGCTTATGAAACCCCAATCATAAGATGATCTAAAGATTAAAAACAAGGAAGTTCGGCCTGAACAAATGTGAAGTCATAACCTTTCTTCTTCAAGTCTCCTTTTGAAGACACAGACAGAAATTACCTCTGACTGACTCTATTATCAGTGAACACATATTGAAGGAATAGCTTAAAATGAAGGTAGCAAATTATCATCTTTGCTTTGAGAGAAAGCTCCGCTTGGGAGAGTAAGCAGATCTCTTATAGTCACCACTGAAGCAGCTCTCTACAGGTCCCATCATGCACCTCTGCTAAATCATGCCTCACTGCTCTGGAGTAGGCCCTGTTGGAAGATTGCAGCTGCATGTGGCACCTTGACAAGAAATTTAGCCTTGTGCTTTCCAGAGGAGGTGATTCACATCATCTTAGCTCTAAAACATTCCATACCAACCATTTCTTGGTCAAAACTGCCTAAATATCAGCATTTAAGGTCCACAGCTGAAGTGTTCAAGCTGTGAAAGAACATGGGAAAGTTGGGTCTGAAATGGTGGATTTGAGAACCTTTCAAAAGTCATTAGGGTAAGATCCTTTGTATGAAATAGTCGTCAGTTTGGTGGAATGAATGCACTAATTTGAATTATATGGGCATGTGTTAGTGACATAAAGTTTGAGTTTATAAGAAGGAGAACAGTGGAGAAAAGTCCTGGCCTGCTAAATATAAAGTCCTCTAGAAGACAGCCCATAATCAATTCCCTTAATGCTAAATTCACCATATGAAGCCTTGTGTCTTCGTCTCAGCATTAGGCCACTAGGTATCCTCACAAAATAATGACCACGAAGTACTGGTGGTCTTATCATTTGACCAAAAATGTATTTTTAAAAACAACTTGTTGGTTGGTAGGTCAGTTACAGTGAGGTGAACAAAATATTACAAATAGCATTTTGCACTCTTCTGTTACTAGTTTCCTTACTATTACTACTTAATACAATTTACTTCTCTAAAAGTAATGGCAGCAGATAAATACTATGAGGGAAATGAAGAACAGTATGTTTCGAAGGTTTTTAAATTGGATTTACTCATTTACTTGTAATATATATGTGTGTAGTTGTGCGGGCACACACATGACATGACATATATGTGGAATTCAGAGGACAACTTACAGGAGTGATTTCTCTCTTTCCACTTTTGCTTGTCCTGGGAATTGAAGTCAGGTCTGTGTTAGGTTGCAAGCAACTTTACCCACAGAGCCACCCAGCTGGCCTGTTTTGAACCTTTTGAACCAGCCTCTGCCTCAGGACTGATCCCTGATCTCTACAGAAGGAAACTATGATTTTCCACCACAAGAGCTCACAGAGAGGGAGCTGAAACCACAGGAGACTGAGGCCTTATCTGGTCAAACTCCTTCATTTGAAGACAGAGGAAGCCTTGTGAGCTCCTGGGGAGCTCAAATATCATAGAATCAAACCTTGCAAACCATGGGTAGAAACTCAAGGGTAACTGGTGACTGACTGCAACTTAACTACTGATAACTTTTTTTGTTTGTTTTTTTGGATTTTGGTGTGTGTGTGTGTATGAGTATGTATGTGCTGGGAACTTATCTTGGGTCCCTAGGAATATGCCACCTCTTTAATAAATAGCTAACTATTGGCTATAAAGCCTTACTATTAGGAAAAAGTAATTGAGTGACACATTTTCTATTTTAGATGCACTATACATGTTTAAAAAATACTCAGGAATGGCAGAGATTCTTGTTTACTCTGGCAGGCAATTTACTAGAAAACCAAACTGCTCGTGATAATAGCTGCTCATCTAGTTTTAGGCTGACCCTCACATCTAAGGTCACTCTAAAGTTTAATCAACTGTAGCGAATTTTGGTGGTAAAAAGTAAAATAATTACATTTTCCTTAAATGTTCCAAAATATTTCTAGACTATGAAGTTCACCCACAGTATTTTTCTTTCAATTTCTCCTAAAATGTCACATAAAGCAGAGCAGACCTACTTACTCCAAACCTGTGTTGTTCAAAGCGAATCCATCCATGCCAACTATCTGCTTTACTGGCTGGCCAATGGGGGGGGGGCGACACATGGGGGGGGGACTAAAGTTCCTTTTCACTTGTCAAAGGCTCACGACAACGAAAGAGGCAAAGATGAAAGTAAGGATTAATACAGATGTAGAGATAGTGTTGTGTGACTTCCACACCTGTTCCAGGTGCTGCCAGTCTTCTCATCGCTCAGATCAAAATCCCTACTTGTTTGGAATAGTTTGGCTTCTCTTTCCTCCCTTTTTATTATAGAGAACCATTTTCACCAAAGTAAGAAGGATTATAATTTTTGGTTTAAATAACAGAGCCTAGGATGGGGACAGACAGATAGTGAAGAACCTACCAAGCATGTAAAGGTCCTAGAGTCAAACCCTACGAACGAACACACACACACACACACACACACACACACACACACACACACACACACAGGTCAACAATAGATTTAGCATTTGAAACATATAGCTGTGTCCGTTTCTCCTTCACTCAACTTAAAAAAAAAGAGAGAGAGAGAACATTAATGACAATGAAAGCAGACAAGAGCTGACATTTCTTATGGCAGATAAAACAAGAAATAGTGTTTAAAGAGCAAAATTTTTTGTTTTTGTACCTCTTTTTTCTGTTCAGAAAACCAACTGGAATCTTTGTTTGAACCTTGTGGCACTACATGAAGATCCACGAGGACAGCAAAATTTCCACACTGAAATAGAAGGGGTAAATATTTATTAATGGCAAGATGTGTCTGCAGTTCATGCCCAGTGGACAACTGCAAATAATCTCACAAAATCCACACACTAGAAAACAGCAACATAATCTCTTTTGGATGGAATCTCAGCTTAGCTACTAATGTTCACAAGTTCATATTTATAGTGGAGATTCTAAAAAGAAATATAGGCTTAACTAGGACAGAAATGACAAAATAACTGTCTCTAGACCACACCTTGAAAGGGGCTCAGCAGACCTCTCAGGGGCAGCTGGAAGTCTGCCAAACACAGAAAGAAGTTGAACAGGGCAGTACTAGGTAGATTTCAGACAAGAAAAATTCTGTGTAGAGCCAGGGACATCCTTTCTCCTGAGTAGTAAAGAATCTGTGTAAGCTTTTGCCTTGTGATAAGGAGTTAGCTTGGACTAGAAATAAACACCAAGAAAAAGAAGAAGGAACCAGAAAATAAAGGGGGTAGATATTGGATGTCAGTTATCAAAACTAAGCTAAGTTTCAAATACGCTATGAATTTCCAAAGCCTTCTTTCTTGCTATATTGGCTAACTCACACAAAACTTGAAGGGGGAAAAAAATGGAAATATCATAAGTCTGTGTGGTACAATAGTATAGTCAACAGGGTGCTTAAAATATGGCTACTATGGCTTACGGACATTTTAATTTTATTTAAAGTAAATTTGATAACCCTATGTAGCTAATGTCTGCACTGAACAGTGGGCATATAGATCTCAGGAAAAGATGGAGCCAAGCTAGAGAGATGGCTCCATGGGGAAAGTACTTATATGCAAGCATAAATACCAGCCCTGATAAGTATGTACCTCAAGTCCCAGTGCTAGGAAGGCAGAGACATGAAGATTCCATAAGCTTACTAGTTAATCAAACTGAAATGGCAAGCTCCAGGTTCAAAAAAAGATCCTGTCTCAAAAAATTAAAATGAATATCAATGGAGGAAGATAATGACCTCTGACCTCATGTAGGGACTCATACAGGGATGCATGCCGGGGAACCTATAGTGGAGAACAAATGTGTACATACATACAGACACACACACACACACACACACACACACACACACACACACACACACACACACAGAGAGAGAGAGAGAGGCTGTAATGTTACAAATCCTCATACCTCATGAGTCATTTCTGAGATTCCCAAGATAACAATAAACAAATACTAGGAACGGAAAGAATGTATAACCAAGACCTTAGGTAGAAGATGTCCCAAGAGACCCAGAGCGTCAGTCAATAGACCTGTAGGAGAGTCCCTTTTATAAATTTGTAAGAAGGTCTTTAATTTCATTTTTCAACTTTCGTGAAAACATAGTGAAAGTAGATTTAACAAATGGTGCTGGAGCATCAGATACAAACACAGAAAGAGAAACTCAACTGCAACAACCTCACTACCAGACACAACATTTAATTTGAGATGGATTACATACTTAAGCATGAAAACAAAAACAAAACAAAAACTATTGTACTCATAAGGGCAGGAAAAGATCTCTTATGTATAATCTAGAACATATGAAACATCGAGGGAAAATTTGTTGATTAAACTGGACATCATCAAAGGAAGAAACCTATGATCATCATCAGGAGTTTCACCAGTGGAATGCTATGTGTGAGGCAAACTGGATAAAATACACTCATAAACACTCATGTCTGGCATGAAGAACTGGTATCCAAAAGATGGAAACAACTTCCACAGATTGGTAGATTTTTTTTTAAGAATAAGTTCAAATATACACCACAAATATGAAAAATGGATGGTTGAACATGAAAAAGTGTTCACTACCACTGTTCACCAGTCAAAGTCAATTCCCACTCAACAGCTGTAGCCACAAAATGCATGAGAAGACTTAATGTACAAAGACCAACACCCAAGTGGCAGGAAGGAGATGGAGCAGCACAAACTGACACACTAGTGGGAATGGAGTTGGGTTGAACCACTTTGGCAAGTGGTTTTCCAGTTTCCTACAACTAACCATGTACTTACTGCATAGGACAATAAGACCATTAGGCCAGCCAACGAGGCTACCCTACAAGTTTACCTAAGCAACAGAGCTCTCTTGTTCACACTAACTCAAACTGAAGACAGACTTAAGGAAAATAAACTAGTTATAGTTTAGTCATGCAATGGAATGGCATTCGCCAAAATGTTGACACATCCAAAATGGACTCATCTCAAAGACAGAATGAGCTAAAGAGGTCATACCAATAGATGCCTCCTATATGGTTCCATGACGGGAAGCTCTACAACAGCAAGAGCCACATGTGGTGAAGTGCCAGGGCAGTGCCTAGAGGTATATGAAGAAGCCAAATGTGACAGGAGACTGCTGTGACCTGAAGGGTATCTTGGTTGTACACCTAAAAGCAGTTCTTCTGATGGGGGATGCCCTTCTGTATATATGTTTCTCTTATTGGTTGATGAATAAAACAATATCTGGCCAATGAGACAGGAAGATAGGTGGGACTAGGACAAGGAGAATTCTGAGAAAGGTTGGCAGGTAGAGCCCACCAAAGACAGTTGTCATGTAGTCAATAAAGCAGCAGAAGGTCTGGACATTCTCCAGTTAAGCCAAGACCACATGGAAATACACAGATAAATAGAAATGGGTTAATAATTAGACAGAGCTAGCCAGTAAGAAGTCCTAGTCATCAGCCAACAATTTTATAATTAATATAGCATTTGTGTGTTTATTTGGGGCTAAATGGATGCAGAAAAATCAGCAACATTCTTCTCTTCTCATATTTAATAAATAATTTAAAATGCAAGTATTGTTATTTAAGAAAAGTGGCTAAAGAGTGAAAGACAGCAAGCAACAGAGTTCAAATAGAGGAGTGTTTTTATTAGGGGAAAAGAATTGAAAGGGGAAAGGGGAGCCGGAGACTGGCCTCCAGAGACAGGAGTAGCAAGAAAGAGGAAAGAGAGGCAGAGGGAGGGGGGATGGGAGGTGAGCAGGGCCCTTTTAAAAGGAAACATAGTGAATGTGCACAGGTGGTGCTCTTAGTAGCTGCAGCTGAGGGTATATCCTGTCAGAACCCCAAGGACAGGCCAGTACATATGCCTGAGTACTAACAGAAGTATGATGAAGAAAGTGTGTTTTCATTATATGGCCTCTTATGACATCAGTATACTGTGCCTGTCTGAATGCAATTTAGTTTGATGCATCTAGAATTTTATTTTAAAGAGATCCAAGAAAATATTGGAATGCCATGGTAAGACTGAGAACTGCTTTGTTAAATGCAAGTCTGTATATGAGTTATGATGAAAGGCTGATTTCTTTTTGTGGGCTGTAGTTTAAAAAAAAAAATGTTTGAAAACCATACTCAAGTATACTGTTATGCTTAGAATTTCTTCCAAATCATATCTACCCTTTAAGGAGTATGCTGCCACCAGGTGGAAGTCATACGCCACGACTACAAGATTTTAGCTGAGGGATATTAACATCTTCAGCCAACTGAAAAATCTGAGAAAATGTTCTTAGAATGTTTTTTAAATACATAAACTTCAATATATTGGATTTAAAAAACTGTGACTACATTGAAGTACATTTATCAAAATCTTAAAAAGTAACCCCAATTTGTGGTATAGTAATACGTGTTTTGCAGGCAATGATTTGTATCACAGTGACAAGAGCAAACTGAAGGAAGTGAAGTGCATCTCTGGCATTTTCAGATGTCTGCAACATTGTTAACCACAGAGAGTTGTGGTTTCTAGTGGCCATTAGCACTGCTAAAACCACTGTATTATGAATCCTACAGTAATGAAAACTTGGTCAGAATCGAGCTCTAGATTTCCCATCAAGTCCAGTGAAGCTCCTAATGAAGCAAAAGGCTCAATCTGGAGTTTTCTCCCACCCCAGTCTATGCTTGATTATAGATTAATTAGGTTTTTCTTTCTTTAAATAAATAAACAAATAGAGAACTTTCCTAGCTTTCTAGAAGACTCTGTGCTGGAAGGTTCTTCCTGGGCAGCCAGGAAGCCTTGATTCTCTGTAGCAGGAGCTTAGCTATCTACGCCAATCAAGAGAATTGTGCCTTCTAAAATTCTCTGCTCTCAAAGCTCCACTTTTTTTTTTTTTACTATGAGTAAACTGAGGTGAACAAAACAGATTTCAGAGCACAGTAGCAGGCACAGCCTCCCTTTCTCCTCAGCCTTAAAAGGAGGTTGTTACCACTCTCAGAAGAAACATTGCAGTTCTCTTCAGGACAGGAAACTTTAGAACTATCACTTCTTCCAGGCCAGAGCCTGTCTTTAGAAGTAAATCCAAGGGCTATGAGAAATAGCTTCAAATCCCATGCACAGGGTTGTGCATATACGCAGGCCAGGGCCCTCTCTCACTTTCACTTCTGGGAGATACCCCAACATTGCCTCTCCCTAGTCCTCTTGAATAGGTTGCCTCATCTTGAAAGTTTCCTTTTCTTTCTTTACTTTCTTTTTCTTTTTTTCTTTTTTCTTTCTTTCTTTTTTTTCCTTTCTTTCTTTCTTTCTTTCTTTCTTTCTTTCTTTCTTTCTTTCTTTTTTTTTTTTGATGAATGCTCAGACATCCATCCACTCTTGTTCTTCAGAGTCTTTCCTAGTGGTGTTCCACATGAACCTGTAATGTCATCAACAGGGTACCTCTGTTCTAGCTAAGCCCAACAGTCCAAGCCTTTCACCAGGCCTCAGTACTATTTCCCATTGTGTGGTGGGCTCCTCCACCACCCTCCAAGCCCACCAGAGGCATAGGAAGCTCTAGGAAGCTTTTCTGGACAGTTTATCTTTGTCCCCTGGATCAGACACATTCTTTAAGTGCTTTATAGACTTCTGCATTAAATGACTGGTCTGTGGAGAAGAGATCCCTGCTAGAACTGAACTTCAGTACAAATGGGTCCATACCCATGTTGATTTTAAATCCTCTAATTAGCATTCTAGCGCCCATGAACATGCTTCATATTTAGTAGCAAGAAGAAAGAACACATAACCGAACAAATT